TACTACTACTACTACTACTACTACTACTACTACTACTACTACTACTAACTACTACTATCATGATAGAGAAATTGACCACTGACCTGGTACCCATTCCCCGAGATTTCTGCCTCCGAGGATCGCGCACAGGCTCCAATGGCAGCATTGTAGGTGTAGCTATTCCCGCTGATACCCTCTGTGGCCATGCGCTCCATCAGCACACTCACTGCTTCCCAGACTCCTCTGAGCCAAGAATGTACTGGGTGTGCTGGGTGATGTGACTATAACCCAAAATGGAGGTGCAATGGTCTCATCTTCTACTGAGGGAGACCATCTTAGTGTTGCTCACTCTGGACAGTTCTGGCAGATGAATTGACAACCGGCAAGCGCTAATGAATCACCAAGTGCAACAGTGTAGGCAATATGTTTTCTGCGGAGCGACTTAACTGTGTACTCTCCAAACCTTTGTCCAGTTGCGAGTGGAAAGCTTTAGCCCAAGAAATGCCAATGTAGCTTTGTGCATCATGAACTCCTGAACCAAAATTTCACCGGTGCCTTTCACTGCTCCAATTGAACACTTGCCTATTCCAACCAATAACACCCTCCGAGACCTCCCGGAGTCCTTGCTTGTCACATGCACTGATGGCTCCGCTGAAGCTAAAGACATTGGCCTCCACCTTCCACGAGTCCATCTGTTGCAACAGCGCCAAAGCCGTGGTCCAAGAACTCGCCTTCTCGCAAGCACTCACCTGTTCCAGGCAGTCCTGTTCGAGTCCCTTCGAATCTGGTGCGTCCCTTGTTAAAATCCTTGGATCTGCTGCATCCAAGGAAATCTCTAGATGGATCAGAATCAGTCTTCCCTTTTGGTCATTCCCCCCGAGCTCGCTCAGAATCCATCTGTCTTTCAGAGTGTGGCTCTTCGAAGCGAGGAATTCGTCCAGACTCAAAGAGACGAGAACGACACAGCCGTCGTCCGGACGGTTCGGAAAAACCGGTGAGCTCCAAAATAACTAACAGTTATAGGACCGTGAGGACCCCCCCATCCATACAATAGCAAGTCAGTTTGAGGTTCTTTGTGGTTCTCTCCCCTCCCCGGAAGTTCCAGGTCTTTACTGTTAAGTGCATCTCTTTTGGTCAGCGATCCAAGTTGAAATTCTTTAAAGAAGCCAAGCTCGGGTTTCTCGGGCGTCTTGAGCAGAGGGGAAAAGGACCCGTGGCAGTATTTTTGCATTGCCACTGTGCTGAGGCCAACACAGCAAAGACCATGAAGCAGCTTCTTCAAAGCTGTGTATCCACACCACTACCAGTTTGACTTGCATGCCTCGAAAGCTAATGCGAAAGCATCTTGGATATCATGACGGGCTTCTGACCCAATCGTCTCTAAAATGTGTGAAAGCTTGGACCATCATGGAGTCCATGGAGCAACTTGGGGTGAGATTTGTCGTTTCAAAGGCATTGGAACTTGGAGCTTGCTGACTTACGAGACCATCACTGAGACCATCTTCGCAAATTGGCAGACCAAGGACCTGAAAGCGACATGGAATCAAGACCAAGGACCTGGCGCTGATCTTGCAGACCTGTCTCGCTGAATTGCTCTGCTTTGCTTGCAGCCCTGATGTGACTTATAAACCCTATTAACCCCCTCTCGGCCGGGCAGAGTTCGCGGTGAACCGGACTCCGGACCTGGTCCGGTCACTTACAAAGCCGGTTCCTCCAATCGGAAGGGTCCCATTCTCTTGGGAGGAACATAGACGGCCATTCGCTGTATTTCGCTGTTCTAGAGAGAACCTCAAGCCGCTTGAGGGGAAGAAGGCAAAGGACAAGCACAGGTTGTCCACACTGTTTAGAATTGATCCTGGAGTTGGGTTGGGGTTCGGTTGCGACAGTTCTTGAACCGCAGCTCAGTGACACAGGTGCTGAAGAAGATGGTGTCCTAGGCATGCTGCCCAGGCATGCTCAAATTTGCTTCGAATTGTGGAGATACAAAGTAGAGCATAAACACTGCATTTCGGGTGGATGAAACCCTCCGGCTAACCAATTAGAGTTACATACTGGGGTGGATGCAAACAGTCACTCGGTCCGATGAGTCGAATTGGATTGTGGCCCCTCTTTGGGAAGACAACTCCTTCTGGGGCCCAGGGATGTCTAATCCCAACCGTGGCTTGAAGAACAGCAAAGTTTCAACAGCACCCGAGAAGCTCATCGGGTTCAAAGAAACGAACCATACAACAAACCAGAAAACACACATTTACACCAATTCGTGGCTTATACAGTATTGCTTTTCCCCAACGCAAAAGGTGTTGTTTTCAGAGTTGTTCATATTGCGTCTTCTTCATATGGAGATGATTGCTTCTCCAACCAACCTCCCCGACGGTTCTCCCCTTCCGGCCGAAACTCTGCTCGGAGCGCTCGGCGCGCGAGGCTGTTGAGGAGATCCAAGGCGTTGCGCCAGGCACTCCTCGGCTCCGGTTCGAAGGACCCAACGACTCCATTGGACGGACGAAGATGACGATCGTTTTGAGACAAAATGGATAGACTTCTCACTATCTACATGAGGTTTGGAGACAAATTTTGTCTATCTATACATTTGAGTCAATAAAGCATTTAGAAATTATCTACAGTATCTACAGTCAAAACTGGAAGATTATGTTCTCATATGTTCTCTATCTACCTTTGACCTCGAAACAACCACCCCCCAAATGTGGCAACTATACCGGTAAAAATGCCATATATGCAAATATAGGGAACATGGATGTACGGGCCGGAAGCAACAAACGCCTAAAGCTCTTACCTAGGAGACGGGTGGAAGGACTTGTTGACAGAAGCTGGGTTTCGGGGTCGTGCTGAACAAAACCTGCTTGTAGAGTTCTTCTGATGGAACATTATAGAACAAGCTGACGTGGATGTGGGTTCAAACCTGAGCACCTTGCTTGACTGGGGCATGAACCGATTCCTCGTGGGTTCCTCGTGCTTGACCGGTTCATGCACGTGTCAACCTGTCAACCTTCTATGGCCTTGGGGGACATTGGGTTCCGTAACGCCAACGCAACGCCAACGGCCCATCCACGACCTGTGTAGCCACCTTCGGGCGCACTGCGAAGCCTCTGCACTGAGCTGAACAAGGTCAGGCTGGGCCCGGTGGGCCTGAGTGGAGGCACAGTTCGAGGCACCGGTATAGCCGTAGCCCACCCTACTTATTTAAACATGGTGCATATATTTGCTCTGTGTATTTCTTTTTGCAGGACAGCCAAAAAGAATCCGGCCATTATGACGGGTGACTTTGTTCGTTGCCCCAGGCAGTGCGCCTTGTATGTCGTGAACCCATCTGACAACCCCTGTTTTGCGGAAAAAAAACATGGATAGTTGTTATGAGTATATAGTAAGGTGCAAACAGGTCCGAAGTGGAAGAAGAATGCGGACAACACCAATTGCTCAACCACAAAGACACAAAGAGACCACATGCACCGTCTCACTTTCTGAGTAGGGTTTCAATCTTCCAGTGCCCTCAAGTTCACGACCAACATTGCAAATAATTCAAGCTGCAGGGGGAGAAGGTAAGGCCTGAACACAAAACGCCCCATCTCAAGGCAAAACAAGCACCCAGAACGGTGAGCTGATGCGCTACACGCTAAGCATGTGGTGGTTTCACTTCATGGAGTGAGACAATTTCTGTCTCCCCGGCGAAAGGGAGATCCTTCGCAACACGGTAAGCTCAGAGCGCAGTCGGCTTATGTAAACACATGAAGGTCAAGGCGAACGGGGGATAGCTGATTCACCGAAAGGAAGAGATCCCTGCTGCACAAAAGGTGATACTGGTCTGGCTTCACTTCAATCTCATTGACATGAATCAAGAAGGAGAACCCGAGAAACATGATGAAATTGCGACCTAGCATATACTCCAGCCATCTTCAGCCCCTCTCCACATAACCACAAACTGTCGACCCAGCGGCACTAGATTGCCGCCTCTCAACCACCATAGCTGCCGCTCGACCACTCTGACCACTCTCGTCACCGGGGCTTGCTGCAAGGCGGCTTGATCCAAGAATTGGACGATGAGTGAATGATAGTGAATGAAACCATGTAAGCCCCAGTCTATTCGATTTACAATCTCATCCACTTTCTCGATCTACTATATTGTGGATGGGAACATGAATGAAACGCACAGATTTGAGGCTGCCCTCGTGTTGGGACTCGTGTTGAGACTACAAATCCCTTTGTTCCTCCACGGGTGGCGCGCCCGGAGTGCTGCAGACATGCCCAGGAGCATGGCCTCACCTTCGCGCAAAGGTGGGCTATGGTGGGCTCTGGCACTCTGAAAACTATCCGATGAATGAACACAGAAAGACACAAAGAACACATCCATACGGATGAAAACTATCGGATGAATGAAAGCAGAAAGACACAAAGAAAACATCCATACTGACTTGTTTCATTTACGTATATATTTATACCTACTTTCTGAGTGTTGTCATTCAATACCAGCCGCAAGAGAAAGACAAGGTAAAGCAAGGTCAACTTGGGCGCTCTACCTCGTTGTAGTGTTATTGGAGCAGAAGCAGCAACAGGATGCAACAAAAAGGGTCTTCCTTATCAAAACAACTGGTGACCAGTACATCTTTTGGATAGACAAATCTCGTGAGATCTCGGGGGTAATTGGATTCCTAGTTCTGTGCCGGGTTAACCCGGAGAAACAAAAACACCTATTAATGACAAGGTATTGCAGGTACCTTTAGCATGTGATTGTGTGCTTAAACTTGAAACCAACATCATCACATGCACAGTTAGATTCCAGCAAGTAACTCTTAGGGTATAGACGGCGGCCGAGATGACCAAAGCAAAGCATGGATGAGGTAAAGGAAAACAGCAACCATAGAATATCGCATAGCTTATCACATAATAATCATCTATATGGGTCGTTGCTGGTACTCCAATGCCACAAGTCTAGGATCTGATACCTGCAAATCCAACTAACGAGAATGGGCGGGAACACAAACAACGAAACCAATGAAATCAAAAGAAACAACGACTAAGACTCTGACTATTAACCAACAACTTCACCAGCAAGATCCGAGCGAAACACCAAAACAACTTCTGCAATTCTCTGTATAAGACGTGTTTCGCTGGTTCCATTGGTCCGGTCCATATGCCACCCTGCATACCTTCTAATTAGTTCATTCACTGAGTAGGCCATGACCGGGCCCTCCAAACACCACCCCGGCTCCAAACCCACACCACGCCAACCGCCCAAACACCGGGCGTCCCGGACCATGTTCAGCCTCAGGGATCCGGTGGAGCACCGTCTTGGGGATCTGCCCCTGAGTGAAGCGCACCGTAAAACCGGTCGTCGGTTGAAGCAGCGGTGGCTTCCGGTTTCGGGTGATAAGGGGTGATAAGGGCGGAAAGGAACACGGGCTAAGTAGTTAGTTTGTTGTGTGTTTGTTGTTGAGATTTCATCTGTGCTCTGAGGCTCTGGCTGGATGAACATGAACATATTGCAAAACAAAGAAACACAACAGCAACAGCAACAACAACAACAACAGCAACAGCAACAACAACAACAACAACATATTTGGCCAGGTTTCATTTGCTGCAAACCCAGGTTGTGGGGCTGTATCCTTCTAGCCATTGTTTTCAGGACCTCCAATATATATATATATATACATATATCTATATACTTCAACTTGATTGACTTCGCCCTACTGGCTGCCATAACTCTCACACTTGGCCGCACTTGCCCATACTGCTAAAATACCAAACGTATTGTTGATTATTGAGGATTTTCTCACACATGAAAATCGCGACTGCAAATACCACCGAATACCCCAGCAAAGTGCCTGGCACATTTGACGACGGTGACAAGTGCTGTGGAGGAAATTTATGATGTTTTATCTATAGCTATATCACTTTGTCTTGCCTGCCGGAAAATCCACTGGCCCCTTCTGACTCTGAATACGCCCTGCATTATGGACAACAAACACACATGGCCCACGGCCACGAAATTTTCAGTCACCGGGCCTGCAACCATTCAGCGCAGGCCACAGGCCTCGGTGAAAGCTGTGCTTCTGACAGCTATAGCCGATCCCTCCCCAGCTGTGCCAAGATGCGCAACGTCTCATCATGTTGAAATTGCATTTTGATGCGAAGGTTGATGCTTTGATATTTGATGTACTCTGCTGGAACGCACTCCCAATTTGAATCGCATTGGATTGCGGCAATCCGCACGTTCCAGGAGCATCAATCCCCTCCGCCTGCGACCCTCGGCCCGTTGGAACGGGTCCCGGAACGGGTCCCGGTGAGGTCGGAAACACTGCCAGGCGCTCCGAACACGGTGGAATCGCCGTTGCCATGCAGAAGTACCTGGGGCCAATGGCATCGAACTGGCGATGGTGAACCAGTTGGATGCATGGCCGAAGTACTTCAAGCTGTCCCTGTACACTGAGGAGGGGACGATTGAAATGGTGATTCAGCATTGGTTGATTTCGTTGTAGGTTATAATATAGGGTCCGCCCTTTCTCACAGTCGTGAAGGTTGACATATAATATAGTTTTAAAAAGAGATAGTGCGTCCTGTAAGGCAAAAGGCTGCCAGTATCAAATGCCTCGGATCAAGTGCCTGATCCTTTCCCTGGTTACGATCCTGTTTGAAATTCAAGCAGAGCGGTTCATATTCAAAGCTGAGATAAGGCAAACTTATTTGATCACGGGAACTGTCAATGCACCAATTGCAAACAAAGCACTTTGATCAACCGACGCATTCAGAACCGGCGGCATGATCGTTTTTCACAGTCTGCAACGGAGGAACCGGAATACCTTTATCAAGCTCATTCAAAAAAAACAACAAACATTGCAGTGGGCCCCAAATAGATAGTGGCATGGATCCAATACATTTTTAGTGGGGATCTACTGGGGGTCTCTATTATTTTACAGATTATACACATATTCTTGCAACCTCAACAAGAAGAATGCTAAGGGTCAGGGTCTTGAGCAAACCCATCATAATGAAAAGTGTCACCACTAGCCTGAAATGTGTTTGTTTTCAGTGTTTTCCTGGTCACTGGTGGCTCTGGATCCATTTGGGCACTCTCCACAACGGCCTTGAAACGTTGTTGGGGGGACGAACTTGAGGTGTGTCTACCTTCCCTGAAACTACAGCCACGTGGACAAGGCTGCCCATGAATAACATTTGCTCCACAGGGCACGGAACAGCGCCTTCACCTACTCCGAAGAACCACACCTTACGACCTATAGGCTGTTCAGTATCCTTGGCATGGTATTCAGAGCTGCTTGCACTTCATGTTGAGCATTGAGCAACCAAACTGCAAATACCCCACACAATTCCTTTGATATGGCGACTCGGCGACTCGTTCCCTAGCCCTGGCTTTACTCGGTGACAACCCTCTTACAGGCGGGCAATCATGTTGCTACTAAACATATTGCACCAAGTCACTAATATAAATTCAAAAGAACTCCAGGAAGCACATGCTCATTTACGAGTTTGATCAACTCCCCCCAAACCCCCATCCCCAACAACCAGTCTGCTCACTTGCGCAAGTCTCCTTCCAACCACTCAGGTGAGCAGGGAGGAACAAATTGAACAAGTTTCAAGCTGTTTTTTGGATCAGGTTTCTCTCTACACAAATCCATGGGATCACGCAGCCGATTGTGCCAAAACAGAATGGTAAACCCACTAAATTCATCGACACGTATGATGGAGTTCTTGGTTCCTGTGAATCAATTTAGTTGCGCGCCACAAATCGCACCATTTTTGCCAGGCATGGCAAGCTTTGAAGCATTGCGATGGTAGGTCCTGGTAGGTTGCCATCTGTCAATGCTTCTCAATCCGGGCTCGCTTAGCACTGGCCTCTCGCAACATCAGAACTATTTCTGAATGAACATTCTGCTCTGCTAAATGTAAAGGAGTTAAGGCAAATCCGGCAACATCATTGCATGAGGCTCCAGCATCTAGCAGCAAGCGCACAACTTCTGGGTAGCCTTTGGCGGCTGCAACGTGCAAAGGAGTTGCATTGTTATCAGTCCTGGCCACAAAACAAGAGGCTCCAGCATCCAGCAGCATCCGCACCACGTCCAGGTGTCCACTCTGAGCGGCATAGTGCAAAGCTGTTGAGCCGTCATCTGTAGCTGCTGAATGAGGAGAAGCTCTGGCATCCAGCAGCAATTGCACCTCTGCCAAAAAACCACCCCTTGCGGCCAAATGCAAAGGAGTTGCACCATTCTCTGTTACCGCCTGACCACACGATGCTCGAGCCTCAAGCAACACACGCACCACTTCCACGTGGTTATATAGAGTCGCCAAGTGCAAAGGCGTTGATCCAACTCCCATCGTGACATGATCACAAGACGCCCTGGCATCAAGCAACACCTGCACCACCTTCCCATGGCCATTCAAAGCAGCGAAGTGCAACGGAGTCACGCCATCCTCAGGTGTAGCTGCATCACGAGCGGCCCCAAAGTTTAAGAGAATCTGGGCGACCACCTGGCGAATCACCAAGATGTATCCAAGAACGTCCCAGCATAACCCAAACAAACATTCTCAAACGACTGCTTCTGTGACAGTAGAGTTTTACACTTGGGATTTTGTCGGGAGCACATGTACACTTGTTGAGTGGAGTGGGTGGAAATGAGCACTTGACTTAAATCTACCCCAGATCAACCGCCTTGAAACTATTGGATCTACTGATTCATCTGAATGTCTCTTTTGCCTCCAGCCTGGCATCCACTTAGAGCTGCGCTATGCAAGGGAGTGCCACCATTGTCAGTTCTGGCTCGTTCCTTGGAAGCTCCTGCCTCCAAGAGGTATTGCACCACCTGGGGGCCCGGGGCAACAAAGCAACATTGTCTGGCGTGAACTTCAATCAGGATCTTCCAACTATGCAACATGTCTGCCGAATTGGCTGGTTTAGAGATGAACTCCAGTCAGGTTTTAGAGTTACAGTTTGGCATACAATTTGCACAGTAAGGTCTACCTGGAAGCCCAAACAACCAGAAACGAATGGTTGTTCCTATATATGGCTTGCTTGGAACCCTTTACGTACACTGCCTGGAACTAGGGATTTCCAACGAATTGTTTCTGCTTGGGACGGGATTTCCAGCTAAATGACCCGCAAATACCCACACGACCGGTCCAAATCCCTTCGCTTCAAAAAGACTGAGCCAAAAGTGCCAAAAGACGATAGACACAAAGGAAGAGGAGGTTGGGGTCCACTTCCATCTTAGGGGGTTGGATATGGTCGGAGTGTATTGGTTGGCCCTCATTGGGGGTGAAACACCCACGAGAAAACCACGACCCGTTTTGGCGCAACCCTGCCTCCGGCTGCCCTGAAAGGCATGCGAAGTGCAAAGGACTTTTGCCTTGCTTGGTAGAATCGTCAACCACCCCTGAAAGCTATGAATCAGGATGGCCCTGGTTATGGCAAAATAACACTTTGAAAACTCCAAAACACAACCAGAGAGGATCCAGCCTTGCGCTTTCGTGACCTCATCAACCTGAGAGGATCCAGCCTCGGCAATGGCTCAGAGCACCATGATTGGAGAGATTCATCACCCACAAACCAATCTATCTATATAGATAGATATTAGTGTGCTCATAGCTTCTGGTTTCAAAATCCTTTGGACGAAAGAAGAGGTCCGTTCTAAAATCGCTCCCCCACCACAACTAGAGGGTCCAAATCAGTCAAAGCGGTTTTAGGACCATAAAAGGTCTACATTCGACTTCCGGTTCCGGGTTCTATGGATGTTGTGGCTTGGTTTTCGGAGAATTCCATCCCCGAGACGCCCGTGACGGTTACGGGCGCAGATGTTCAGTGTCCATGTGGTTGATGCAAACTCCCTTCATTTCACTGGGTGTCTAATGAAAGTTATTCCGGATCTTTAGTGGTGTTCGGAGCATTTTAGGAGTTTCATGTGAGAGTCCTGATTGCTTTTTAGGAGTTTCATGTGAAAGTCCTGATCCCACTGAGAAAACAACCACAAAAAGTAGGACCAAGTGCATAAGAAAAGTTCAGGAGAACATGTCTTTGGCATGGCAAAAGACTCAAAGACTAATTGCCCTTCTCATGCACTGAACCACTTGTCTGGTCACAATCTTTTCAAAAAAACACCCACCAAGCGGACCGTTGTCCAGCCGGAGTTGACCGATGTACTCATGAACACTGGTCCAAGACAAGCAATGTAGCCCATGTTGATGGAGACCACGGGTCGCGCAGCTTGGAAGCTGATTTGGTTGGCCAGTTGTAAGAAGCTAAGTGGCTTCCAAAAGCAAGCGCACCACCGGGAGGCGTCCGACATCTGCTGCCACATGTAGGGGAGTTGCACCACCATCATCATCTGTCAAGGTCTTCTGAGTGGAGGCGTCAGCATCCAATAGCAAGCGAATGATGTCCAAATGACCGTTACTGGGACCAGCGACCGTTCCTGGGACCAGCGACCGTTCCTGGGACCAGCGACTTCCGTTCCAATTTGAAGAGGAGTATGAGGATGAACAAACAGTTGTGTGTGAAGTGGGACATCCTATCCCATATTCCCTCTCCCGGCCTCTACCCCCATTGTCAACTTATGGCAAGATGTTTCCCTCACAGTTTGCCCACAAAATCCCAGCAAAAGATTAAGCTTAAACCAACCTCACCGGCTCTTGCTGGTTCCCAGATTCAGAGCTGCCAAATGCAAACCAGTCCATCCCATATCGGTGGTGTCTGGGTCTTGGGGCCGCTGCAAACTCTGCTCCACCTCCTCTAGGTGTCCTGCGACATGCATGGACCCAATGGACCCACAGGATGCAGCAAACATGTTCAAAGAAAAATTGGACACTGTCACTCTGTACAAACACTTTTAACAAGAGTTACAGTGGAATCAGTAGAATGTCCGATCCAACTCAGATGGTACTTTCCGGCAGGAACTCCTCACACATTTCCTGGTGTTTGCAAAACACAAGAAACATCTTGCAGGTCACAACCATGTGCGTCAACACGATGTGGGAACTCCGTCGTTTGGCTCACAAAAGCACAGGCTGGCCTTCTTCGCAGGCCAGGATGAATTGGGCGTCCTCTTCTGGATCCTTAAACTTGGTATAATTGAAAAGAAAAACAACAACAGCACGTCCTCGTCCTTCATCTATCAGTTACAACTTGTTTGCTCACTGTTTGTCTAATCTATCACAACATATCACAACTATTTTTGGTCTATAGCAACACCCCAGCCCAGGAGCCACGCTAGGCCATGGAATGTTCACCCCAATTTGGGCAATGATATCTTTGCGAAAACTCTTTGGGGGTTTGGGTCCGTAGTACTGTTTCTACTCCAAAATGCTCCCAGACCTGAAACAGCTTGATCATTTGGGCCAGCTAAGGGTCAGGTGGGCAAAGGGCCAACATCACCAGCTTCAGTTCCAGCGGCAACATCAGCGCGTCCTCGTCCTTTATCTCCACACTGCTGTCCACATGCAAGAGTCTCAACCGGAACCTGCAGCGTCAAACACATGGACGTCCAAAGTGCTAAAGTGCGCTAAATTTCAAGCACCTGAGCTATGCAGGAAACGCGTCAAAAGACAAGTTCAAGTGGTAAGGCTCTATGAGCTTGACACAAGAGCATACTTACAGGTACACAGCAAAACGGTACACAGTAAAATAATGTGTTCTTGGCCAAACCGGTTTAACCGTAGCAACAAACCGATCCAACAAACTAATCAATGCTTAATCACCTCGAGATCCTCTGCAAACCGAGAGTAGAAGTGAGTGTATCCTCGATTTAGTTTACATTTAGCAAAGTACATCTAAGTACTATAATTCACGCAGCTGACATGGCTGAGACTTACTAAGACTGACTAAGATCTATAGTAAAATCAAAGCTAGGTCCAAAGTTAAGTCCTGACTGAGTCATGGCTACTTATCTCAAGCAAACCTTAAGAGATCAAAGCCCTCAAGCAAGAGATTCTGATGATGAATTCACAGAATTAGATCGACGTCCGGACTTCGACGTCCTATCGAACGGACCTGACTTCTTTTCATCGATCCTTAGGACTTCGTCTAGCGAGCTAAGCGTGCTCCCCATCACCCACCGCTAGCTCCCCAGTGGATCCTCCAATGTGGAGATTGCTGAACTGGAACAAATAGAACATATGTAACTCTTCCCCAGTAGGGGGATTCATCCATAAAGAAAATTAGAACACCGCGCTGAGCAAAACCAAATCCTTGTCCCCCACCTTGTGCCAAACTGTCGTGCTGCCAACTCCAGCTTCAGTGCCCTTCCTGTGAGGCTGGTGCCACTGGTCCGCTCGGTTTGAAAGTCCTCCAGGCTGAGGACCAGCAGGACTTTGCCCGAGCACGCCGACACCACAGTGAGCGCCATGGGTTCCAGGGACCACGAAGTGAATGGACAAGCTAAAAAATAAAGAACATGGGATGGGTAGCGGGCTCTACTTGTGAGGAATCTTTATTTAGAGATGTGTACTGAAGGCCACTAGCTTGGTATCTTTGGTGTCCAAACAGGCGTCGGTCAACACAAACCATTTGGAGAGAACAAACACACATTGGCAATTGGTTGTGCTGCAAGTTGTGCTTCTCTTCTCTGCTTTTCTTTTGCTTTGGAGCCACACTAGTGCAAGCACATGGGGAATGATTCAATTCACATATATCACTTCTTGCATGCCTGTATGAATACCTCGACAAATAATTTCACAAGACACAAACAAAACTGGTAGTTTTGGAGAACGTTACGTTACCCTAATGATATATTATATAACGTAATTCATTTACTATGTTAAAAACAAAAAATGAAATTGACAGAATGGAACAAGAACCTCTCCGTTGGCATGTTCCTGCACGAGAGGGCCATGCTCCATGTTAATGGCCAGTAGACGCCGTAGATGGTACGTTGGGGAATCTGTGAAACGGTTGTTTACCAGATTGAGAAGCAACATACTAACGATATCCAAAATGATCCAAAATGTAGATCCCAATCAAAACGTGGATGTTGCAAAGAAAAACACCTATTCTTTTCTGGCTCAGCACTACAATTTAATTGAACCTGGCTCAAACCCTTTGGTTTTATCACCCACACGTGGCACACAGCCCTGGTCCAGGCTCACCATGGTACAGCGGAGGTGTTGATAGTCCACACCCCAGCTGTTTGCACTCCCCACCTGGCCGCGAAACGGGTGTCGACTCGCCATCGTTTCTGCGGCTAAACGATGAAAGCATGGATCTGCGAGCTAAACGAGTGTCCTTCCTATCAGGGTCTAAAAGGATGTCTGGCTTCCCTGATAGTCCAAAATACAGCCCTACATCTATTTCAGGAAATGGATGGATTGCGTTGTTTTTTGCGCTCAAAAGCACAACTTCTGTGATATTTACTGTAGACTCGTGATGAACTTCCCATTTGGATGGTAAAACCTCTGAATTCTTGTGGAGGGTTTTATCAATCCATTAGTGTTATAAAACTGTCTGCACATATGTGATTCATACCACTATACATATATTATGTGATGAGCAAACCCTGCTTAAACGGTTTTGCGAATGGATCAACGAATCAACAAAACTGTCACATGGAAGTGGAATATGATGCCTGTCCTCAACAAACAGGTAGACTCCACTTCCATGGAAGGTGTTGCCATGGATGTCCCTCCTAATAAAGGTCTTGCTCAATCGGCTGGGATGGACATTGGAGCAACCAGCTCAGAAGTTCATGGCAACTGTTAATGTGTGCCCCTCACCTCCTTAGAAAGGTCAGCGGAACTTGGAAGCCTTACAGAGCTTCTAATCTCCCCAACCATTCTCAGCTCAAACACCTGAGAACTGCTTGAGATTCAGAACAAACAGGTGGCACAAGTTGAGGTTGGGCTAGTTGGGCTTCTTGAGAGTCTTCCGCCTTCACAACCCCCGACCAATTGCCCGCAGGCGCGGGCGCAAGCGGGGCAGGCGCACCAGAGTTGCAGCATCTGCACCTTCGCCACCGGTCTCCTGAAGGGTAAGGAGCTGTTAGTGCATAGAGAACCATTTTCCATTGCCCTTCGCCTAACCTAAAGAAACAGTCTAGTTTAGTTCCCATCCTCCTACCATATGCAAAAAGCATCTTCTAGTCTAGCCAACCCACCCGCATCTCGCCCACATCACTCTCCGCCTGGCACATCTGCCAACCCCCTCCTGCGCCATCTGCAGCAAGGAGGCGCAACGCTCCATGAGCCCATCAACCTGCCAAACACCCCGATCGACTGGACAGCCGAACCGACCGAATGACTCCGAACCTGAATCACACCGCTTGGGTGTTCCAAACATCACAGGCTCAAGATGTGAAGATCATGGGGTCATCACCTTGGCGAATCGAACGGTCAAAAAGAGATCCCAGTCGTTCGACCTCAATGCTGATCCTGAAGACGCGACTGCGACGACGCGACAGTCGCGACTGCGCTGTGTAGGGACTCGGAACATGCAGCCGACGTAGTGGTCCAGGCCTCGCGCTGGTTCTCGGCATAGGCCTTCTGCTCTAAGACAGAGACCTTCAAATGGGAAGCAGGAAGGTCTAGGAAGAAATCTTAGGAAGGCTCTAAGAAGCAGGAAGATTGGATATAAGAAATGAATCCCGGGTCTTGAATTTTGAGAAGATGGATGACTCATTCTCCAAGTAGAAAATGCGGGGTCGAACCCTTTCGTGAGGGAATTCTAACGGGGAGAGAAAAGTCTACTGGCCTCAAAGTGATAGATATACCGTGGCAATGGTAGTTAGGGTACCTACCCTATCACACTACATCATAATCTATCCTTTTTGGAAAGCTGTTTCTACTTCCTGCACCAGGTGCAGAATTTAGGTCAAGTTCCAATCAGCACCATCATGCACCAAGTGGCCAAATGGGAACTAAACCAACCAATGGTCAGAAAGCCAGGTGTGATGAAGAGCAAAGAATGTACTCGAGCCTTACATGGACTTGATAGAGCCCCAGGACGTGGTCAAACAGCAGAACGCGTCGAGAGACTTCCTGCCAGTCATCCAGCCCTACTACACGATGCAATTGACACAGGTGGCGTTTTGCTTGGGTCATTTGTGGCACCCGGAGAGATTGTCGTGACCTGTTTCTGTTTTGTTGTTGTTGTCTTTTTCTGTACCCTTCCTCAGCCTTCTTGAGGAACTTCCCAAAAGAACGCGTCAAATTCGCCGAATGGATTCTATTGGATTCCTGTCATTCTGTGGGACTTTGTCACTAGGAATCAATTCCACCACGCTCTGTTCCCGTTGTTGGCAGCTGGACCTGTCTGAAACAATGGCTCCTTGCTCTGCCCAAAGTATCATAACCCTACTGTAAACAACGCCGGCAACTTGTCCCACCCTGCTCCAAATGTGTTTTCTTTGATCCGTCTTCATTTGATGACATGCAGCTTGGATGAAGCTTGGAGGAATCAAACAATCAAGGATGGTGATTTACACAAACTTGCCGGAGAGAACCCAAGTTGAAGAGTTGAGCGCTGTTTGTTGGCAGATGTTTGGAGTCTGTAGGATTGCAGATTGGCCAAGCGGCTTGGGTGACTTCTGTGAGGACGCTGGACAAAAGAAACCAAGGCAAACGGTAAAACGGGAGTTGCCAAAGTTCCTTGTTCCTTGTAAAGGGGCAAGGGTCAGCCCAGGAGTCCAGTGACTAGTTTTGGCCAAAAATGCTGTGCACACGGTTGCCTCCACGTTGTCATGTTGCCCAGCTTCCTGTCTTCCATGTTGCACTTGCCCCACTGCAAATCCATCTACAAATAGGTTCAGTGCAATTTCTCAACACTCTACTCTAAAGATTCCTAAGGCGTTGGACGTTCCAACAACTCTCCCATCTGAAGTGCCCATCTTTTAACACCAAGTCGTTGCTACACATCTCAAAGACTAGGCGCCCCAACCGCATTGACCTCTGCTGGAGGGCTCGTGAGCCTAGGAAGGAAAATCCGAGCCGACAGGGATACGTCTAGACCGTCACTAAGAATGTATTGGAATGCATTTCTATCTATTTGGGGACCACTATAGCTCCGAAAATAGCTTAATCCAACCACCGTCATGATGTTGCAAACACGGCTTCTCTTTCCGGGTTTTAGAGCTGTTGCACCTGTAGTGAGCCTACCTGAAACACCCAACCCAATACTTGAGGCCGGGGGTTGGTGGTGAAAACTAGCTTCATCTAATCTAATTAATCACATGGCCTCAAGATGGGGATGCGCGGAAGAGGGTTCTAGCAGTGGATCATTCACTGGGGAGCCGCTGCCATGCCCCAGCCAATGCCAATTGCCAATCACTTGCTAAAGCAAGAGTAACTCCAGCTGAAACTAGCATTCGTGAAACATGTGAAAACATCCTCAAGCCTCAGGAGGTATGTGGATTGGTGAGGCCATGTAACACCAGAGGCCTGTAGGATGGGTGCAGTGCCTCTGGGGCTCACAGGGGCTCCCAGGATGGCGGAGACAGCTGGTTGGTGTCTTCTGGCATGAAAGCTCTGCGATGGGTCTGATTTTACACGTAGAGCTCAGTCTATGGAGGAATGCCAAACAACATGGCTTGTCAATTCCTCGAAGCCCTTGCCGCTTGCCAGCCAGGCACATTTGCAAATGACCCAAATAACTTGATGCAGCAAAAGTGAGCAAAAGAACCGTTCATTTTCCAGCACACATTTTTTCGGAGTGGTATAGGCCACTGTCCAAATGCTTCAAAAGACTGGTCGGACTCCTGAACTCGGCAGATTCACAGGGTTACCAAGTACCAACAGCGAGCACTACCCAACATCTTGGAGAAGCAAAATATCATCCTCATCAACCACAGCACGCCACTGACAAACACCTTGACCACTGCCAAAATGCGAAAGCACGCTTCACCTTATCTGCGCAAATGGAAAGGAACATTTTGTGTTATGGGAAACCAGAGTGGCTGCTGATGTGCCCCTCAACTTCCAAAACAAGGTAAAAACAAGGCAAAGCAGAACTCGCTTCAGCTGAATCTGAACACCTATCTATGGATCAAACCACCTTCTAAATCCTTCTAAACGGATGGTATCGGATGGTTTTTGCCCTTTGAAACATCGACTTTCAGACCTTCTCCATGTGCATGGTTTCTCTCTTGGAGCTGCCTGCTTCACCGCCTTCCCCGCCGGCGGCGCGGTGAAGCACCGGGTGCTCCGCACATGGAGGAGGTCGGCAGCAAGGAGGGCAGCGAGGAGGGCAATGCCCAGCCGGAGTGAGCGGAACTAGGCACTGAGCGAGTCCAACCCACCTCGATATCGCCCGACCCGAACCGACCGACCGGGACATGAAAAAAAGAAACACAAACACACTGGATACTCCCAAAAAAAGTCACTTGTATGTGGTTATGTGATGTTATGTGGCTGTATCGTCATGTTCGTGTAACTTTGGCAATATTTGAAAACTTATATAAATCTGAGAAGACTAGTAGGAAATTCTAGTCTACTTCCTTTTTCGTTCACCTTGAAAAAAGGCCGAAGGCTGCCACGCACGTCAGCACCACAATTCTCCATAACGCTTTGCCGGATCTACATGCTCTCACTCACAGCACTGATGCTCTAAATACCAAGCCAGATCGCTAGTACCACATAAAGAAAGTGTATGTTACGGCACCCTACTCCTCTATAAAATGTTTGTCAAGGGTTCACAAAGCATACCAAGATTTATAATGATTTATATATAAAGATTATAAAGGGTGAATTCTCCAATACCCCTCTTAGAGAGAATATCCATGTGGCTAACAGTTTGACGGGGATGTGTTTGAGTTTTGTTCGTCAGGTGTATAAACCGAACATTTGCATGGTGCCATCTTTACGTTTAACTTTTATCTTTTTTAGAATTTTATGTGTGTTTTGGTCCGGCTTCTGATTTCCTCCTTTTTAGTGAAAGAAAACTGCAAAGCCAATATGACTCCTTGTTTGTTCGTGCATGTCCACCATCGTTGCCAGCTGTGCACTAGTCGTCGGAGTTTGCCCAAGCCGTCGCAGTGGGAGAGAGTCTGCGACACGACTTGTCGGTGGGAGCTGGAAGAAGTGCCGAACATAGACCCTGACATCACGCCTGAAAAAAAGGTATACTTGTATTTACTAGTAGGATCTTGTTAGGTAAATCATGTCAGTTCCACTGAGCATTTGGGTTTAAGAAACAGTTCACCCAGCATACACGGTATGCACGGGTCCCTGTCACAAAGGACTGCCAACACATTGGCAAAGATTGCTTCCAGGCTGAGGACGCGGTGTTCGGGCGGCCCGACTCGTAGCGTCTCTGGACCGACTGGTAGTTGCGTAGTTCGAAGGCCTATCTCTTCCGGCCGGTGAAAGATCACCTCTGGTGAGAAACATTGAGAAACAACATGAAACAACCATGAAGTGACCATGAAGGAGACAGCCCTACAAGCCAGAAATCCCTGTATGAGTCCAAGGTCCACAACGCTTCTTTTTGATGGTACACAAACCAAAAAAGGACATCTCCCAAGGTCCTACCGAACGCCCCCATAGCCGTCATGACGCCAAGACGCCAAAGTGTTGGCTAGTGAGGCTAAAACCGAAGATGGCAATCCTGGCCGATCCGAGAGCTCAATCTTTGGAGGGAACGACCCAGTCATGGGCCTCAGGTTGAACGACCCAATGCCTTTCAAAGTTGAAAGCGGATGGCACAAAAAACCCTCCAATGCCAAGCAATGTTGGGCCGGTGAGTGTGTGGCATCTCTCTAAACCTTTTCTACAATTATATATATATATAATTGGTTCAAGTTCTTCCCAAACAGAGACACGCAATCCTGACATTCCCTCTTGATTGGCCTGAGGTGTTTGAGGGATGATGATTTGGTAGCTGGAGGGGCTGGAGGAGGGTCAGATCTTACCTGAGAAGGTGTTCGGATCCACAGATACATATATATATTATACCTAGACCCGCTTTGTCCTTTCTTTTTTGGACCATCAGGGTTTTCATATTGATTTACGTCCTTTGCTCAACTTTGCGTACCTTTGCTAACTTTACGTCCTTTTGCTTTTTTGCCCATTTCCACTATTCCTCATTCCGCTGCAGCAGTGCTCGTTTTCTGCAGCATCCCTGGCAACATCCATGCCTGGGCCTGAGTCGAAGCCTGGGAAATCAAGCAGGGCATGGCAAAGTCGCTGGAACATGCATATGAACTTTACATACGCTTAGATCTCCAAGAGTTTGCCCCTTTAGATCTCCCCTAAAGAGTAAACCATCACTGCATGCCCCTGAAATCTTCATCAGCTTGTTGGAAAGCTAAGCACACATTGATCAGGGACCGCTTGGCAACCTGATTATGAAGGGCACGAACCGACACCCTTCGCGATAAGCGAGCAGGGCGTCCCACAAAATCTTCTTGCATCTGAACTGAAAATGCAAGAGGTGAGATCACGTGAGTTGCATTCGGAGTCCTAGCTTGCTGAAGCAACTGGATGGCACTGTGGGCTGTCATGTGCACTTTAGGCACTAAAGAAAACCGGAGCTTGCCCTCCCTCAAACAAAGAGCCGCAGCATTGGTGTAACACTGCAAAAAGGCCAGCAGCTGCCTCCCCAGGGCTTGACCATCCTCCTTGCGGAGCCAAAAGCCATGAGAGTACATGAAGGCCATCACTGAATTCACGTAGTGCGAGCCACGAGCCTGGACGCAGTCAAGCAAACTTTGCTAAATAAGAACTCGTCCCCAGCCAACACAATACTAGCTTGCAAAAAAAATGCACGGTAAGCCAAGGAACCACTGCAAGAAGCACTTCATCATCGGTCTTGCCAACAACGAATCGTGTGCAAAGGTCTTCCAAATACAGCAGCAAGTGTGTCGACATGCTTCCCTTGCTCCAAGCACCAATTGGACATATGCGGCTGGAAGGCCAATTCAAACTGGCCCTTGAGATTTCCTTGGAGTGAGGAGAAATCCGCCTGGTCTTGCAGAAGGAGCCAAAGTCACGTGTCATCCATGTGAACTTGGCCTCAACTCCATTCCCACCAATTGTGGGGATGGCGCCAAACCTCTCCACCAAGCAAACGAACCCTCCAGCAATCCAATGCTTTGCAATCCCCAAGTGGATGTTGTGCCAGATGTCGGTCTGGAAAAATGATGGTTCTTTGCCTGGACATACTGGCAACCCTTCCAGCAAAGCAGGCCGAGAACTCCATGGCACGGTGTCAATCGTGCCTTCCCATGATGGATGAAGGCTGACATCTTCATATGGAAGGCTTTGCGGGTGTGCTCGGCTTGCTTCAACCCCCGCCAAGCAAACATGGCAAATGCCAGTCGCGGCCGTCCTCGACTGCGCAGCTCGAGGAACATGCGAGAACGAACGCTTGGCACCGGACAGCTTTGTCAAAGCTGGCAAGTCACCTTTGTTGTTGAGATGAATCAACCATAGATGGTTGCCATCTTTGTCCCGGATTCCAACCCTTGCCAAGGCAGCAAAATCCTCAGCACATCGGCGAAGGATTGCCTGAAAGGCATCAGGGTGAGCGTCAAAAACCTCACGAAGCATAGTGGCCACCATGAACTGTGTTGACCAAGTGCATCCTATGAAGTTGAGTCCAAATTCAGCAGCATCCCCACGAAGTTTGTGCATCCCCTTTTGGATGAAAGACCTTGTGCCACGGCCTGTTGCGCCATGGAAGCTCACAACCATCAAAGGCAAATGTTTGTAGGACCTTCCCTCATCTGCGTGGGTGAAGACAGGAATCGTGCGAGATAGTGACAATGTGCCTTGCCGTGCGAGAGAGAACAGCTGGTGCGTTGGATACAGCACTTCATAACGATGCCAAAACTCACAAAGCCGAAGCTCCATCTCCACAAAATTGGCCACGCCACACAACTGCTTGGCAATGCGCCCACTGTCAAGGAGGAATTGCGCCCAGGCCATGGGCCCGATGAAAGGAAATTTTTTCAACTTCCCAGGTCCCACGTCAAGGTATTCTATTGGTACATCGACGGAGAACCCATGCTTCACGAGCACTTTGTGGACTCCAGCTTCAGCATCTTCTACCCTCACGCTAGCAAACTCTTTCATTTGGTCGCTGCACTGGGGATTTGATCGCACCTCTGCTTTCGCAAGCTCAACGATGTGGGAGGCTGGGGCCTAGGCAGCGCCAGAGTTAGCGATAAAGTCATAAAGTAAAATGAGAAGGACCAGACTGAAGACTGCATGGGAAAACCAAAGCAGCGGTACTGTAACTTTTCACCCTCCCACTGATCGCGGTTGGTCAGCGCGAGCTCCTACAACATAAAGGAAGTATGGGGGGTCAGGGCGATTGGGCCTGCAGAGTGCCCCCTCGCCGCCACTCCCCGCTGCATTACGGCACCCCACATGCATGTGAAACTGGGAAACCAACGCGGCCTCCAGTGTATGAATTAGGTCTGTGCTAGGTGAAGCAGCTAGGACCCACATCACAGTGTAGCCCTGTTCCACATAAGAAGAAAACCGCTGAGGAGGGTTAGACGATACACCCACCTTAAAGATGCAGACTCGCAGGCCCACACGTTGCCTGAGACTCGTGACCAAATCCGTGCAATGGGTAAGTATTTTGCCAGCAGTTGCCTTGGCAAACCTAGCTGGATCCATGCATTTGTTAATTAAATTGTGTGGTTTGACTTTTGCCCAGTCAAAACTGTTGGCATCGAAAGATGCCCCTATCTCAGAAAGCTCAGTGGCAGATGTTTTGGCCACTTCCTTGGATCCATCAGCTAGAGACATTGAATGTTATTCAGGTTCTTGTTTGAAGCCACTGTGTGCAGAAGCGGTATTGTTGTCCAGCCGAGATTCCCGGATCATGGCGGAGCTTGGTGGCGCTGTGGCAGGACAGCCATCCCGATAAAAGTACTCCATGTAGTGATCCGGATCAAGCTCTTGCTCCGGCAAAGGGTAGGGCTCGAAGGGGGTAGGGCTGGCAGTCCTTAGGTGCAAAACACGGGCCTTGTGGGGGTTTGCAATTGCCGCAGTGAGGAAACACCTTCGAAATGACTTCTTCAGTTCATATCCCAAGGCACTTTTGAGCCTTCACTGGCTCAAATATACTCACACCAGCGGTTCTGCGCTTGCCCGAAACTGGGCACTCATACGTCAGGAGGTCCATCAAATCATCTAGGGCGCCATCATCGGTGGAGTCCATGTTTAACTCCACCACAGGCACAGGATTAGAACCCTATGGTATATTCCATGAAAGTGTTGCAAAGGGATAAACACATTTCTGGAAAACATATCCCACATGCGCGTGCACATTCATTGATTTTTCATCATATATGTGCAGTGCATTGCGCTATATGTGCATGAGCCTGTACAGTAGCAAAGGACGCCCCAAGGTTGAATCCAGCAAACGAACAACTAACTGGACTTGTGGCTCGCTGACAGGAGTTTGGGGCGCTGACCCCATTGGCGAGGAGGCGCGCACAGTTCCGGAGGACGCCATGCTTCTTGTCTTCGGCAACGGTCTCGACCCGGCCTGGCAGCAGCATATTTTTTCGAAGGCTGTAATAAAACCCCCAGGAATGGGGGTGAAAGACTCATGGATGAGCATTTCCTCACAATCAGAAGGTTCAGGCCAGAAGGTGTTTTCTCTTTGCTCCGGATGTTTGTTTTCACCCACTGGAAAGCAACACATGCCTTGCACGTGTTCAACTGCTTTCGCATCTCCCCAAATCAGTGTTCCAGCTCCACTCGTTTTGAGCTTTGCCCACTGAACATATGGCACATCATGTGCATGAGACAAGTGTCCCCTCAATACCCGGCGTTTCAAATTCCAGCCACTACTCCTTCTGCATGGCCTTGAGTGTATTCCTCAGGTAGCTAAAGCCAAGGGCTTGACCAAAGAGCAGTTAATGGAATGTAGCAGTGGCAAACCTCTACGCGCAGTTGAGGATCTTTGCCATCATCTCCGCTGTTGTGACCTTCGAGCACCTGGGCCGCATATATTTATCATGGTGTCGATAGTGTTGGGTTCCGATTCCAAAAATAGTTTCAACCCAAATGAGAAATGCAATTGCGGCACTTGGCCGTAGATGACTTCATTTGCTGCTCCACTTTGGCAATCAACCTTGAATGGACAGAGTGCAAGTATACGATACACACTAAACACATTCATTTAGTGAAGCATGCCAGCAATAAGTTTCACACTCCTTTGATTTCTCCTCTGAGATATTTTTCTTAGTGAGATCTTTGCACTCACCCTTTGTTGCTTCCACAGAGTCGAACTCCGCTTCCAAAATCTCGATAGCGCTCTTGAGGCTCGTGATGGACCTTCATAGGCGCACAGCGGGCAGTGGGGACGGTGGTGGAAGGGACGAAAACAACTTCAACTGGCCTGGTCGCCCGCTCCTTGCTGCCGGAATCATTCTTGGAGGCCAAGGTTGACTCAAGTTCCCCTAATACGTCAGAAAGCTTGGAGCACCGTGCCAAGATGGAGTCCCCAAACTTCTTCAACTGTTGGTACTCCTTTCAGGGCAAAATTGTTTTTGCGGGGCGAAACCTGGATTGAGGAATTGAGGGCCTACTCTTCACGCAATCAACGTTTCTCCTGTTTGGGTCCATTGGTTTGATCGGTCTTCTTGCCATCATCGCTGGAGTCATCGCTCTCGGCACCCTTCCGATCTTTCCCAGCCTTGGACGGCGCCGTGCGAGCCTGGTCCTTGGAGGCAGCCTTCAAGGTGTTCAACTTCATGGGCTTGACTGGCTTTGCCTAGGCACCGGAGCACGGATGGGAGGTGCACGGTAAAGGAGCTAGAATAGAGAGGGAGGTCCACAGAGCTTGATTCCATGACAACTCGGGGACCCACCAGATATTCAGTTTCTTCAGTACGTTCAACTTCATTTTCTTCATCGTTGCTCTCATCATCTTCTTCGTACTCGACATAGTACTTACGCACGTCCTTGTTGTACCGATCCTTCCTTATCAGCGGGCCAGGGGTGCACCACACGTGCGGTATAGGGATGGTCAACAATCAGCAAGTGAGGAACCCAAGTGCTGGTTAGCCACTTCCAGGGGTCTTTCTTCTCGCAATACTTCACCGCTTTCTGGATATACTTCCTAACCATCACGATCATTTGTTTGTGCAAGATGTTATAATCTCTGGGATTGATTTCTGTTCTGTATAGTATACTTTCTATTGAATCCTCTTCCGAGTCACAGTAGACACGCATGTAAATTGGTCGGTTCTACACTATAAACCAAGAGGCGAGCTCCACTGCAACTTTTTGGCCATCATTTCCTTAGTGTACCACCCCCTCTTTGTACGAGAGCTCTTCTTGTGAGCCTTCTCCTTCGAGCGGATCACGAGCTTCACAAAAGGCTCCTGGTTCCAGGACAAGAGAACTTAATAGTTTTTTGTTGCCAAGGCGAGGGGGTTGGCATCCAGCGTGTATGGTCTTAAAGCTCAACGTGTGTGAAAAACGCTCGCACAGATTTTGTATAAGTACGCTGCCAAGCTAGAGCGTCCTTGTTCCAGCCAGCGTCGCGAAGCATTTGCACCAACTGGTCCTGAACGTCAGCGCCACCTGTTTTCCACATGTTGTGCACAGCCTCCGGGACGTGACATCTACCTGTTGGTTTTTTCTCGCGCATTCTCCTCAACCTTGCACGCGCAGCTGCAAAAGAACACTCACCTTCAACCCGAGGGATATACCCACCTCTTTTTGATTTGGTATTCTCAGAATCCTCATCATTCTCCTCTTCTTCCTCTTCCGATCCTTCCCCTTCCTCTTCCTCCTCCTCTGCCCCCTCCTCCTCTGAACCGAACAAATCCTCGGTTTGGCAATCCTTCTCCTCATCCTCACGCTCCTGATCCTCCTGCTCCTCCTCTTCCTCATCTGCCTCCTCCTCTGCCTCGGGCTCTGCTACTTCCTCTTCCTGTTGTTTTCGCCTGCCTCCGACACGTTTCCCACCTACCTCCCTTGTCTGACACTCCTTCTTCCCATTGCCCTTCTCCTTCGCGGCTTTGGTCTTGCTGGCTGCTGTTTCCTTCTGCGCCGACTTGGACGCAGAAGCCGACACATCCCTACGCGGGCGGGGTGGCGGGGTAGCTGGCGTAGACTTTGCTTTCAAATCTTCTAGCTCTTTCTGCATCCTGGCGTTGGCCTGCAGGCAGGCGCTAACCACTAAGCGTATTGATGATTTTATGTTGCATGCGTTAGGGATTTGGGATTTTTAGTTTTACATGTTTGTCCATAACGAAAGGGATATCCAGAACTAAAACCAAAAGCAAGGAAACGTGGACGGTATGTCAAACTAGCCTCCTTCAACGCTCTGACAGAAGCCTCCGACACATCCTGGGACTTGCCTCTTACTCGCTTGGGCGGTTCTGGGGTAGATGCCGGGCCAGTCTCCTGCAATCTCTTGGGCGCAGAAGCTGGGGTGGTGGATCGGGCATTGGCTTTGGCTTTGGGTTCTGCTTTGGACGCCTTTGGCGCGGCTTTGGCTTTGACACAAGTCTGCTTTCGCACGCCAGCAACCTTCTCCAGCTGACGCGGGGTTGCCTTTGGCACAAAAGGCAAGCAAATAAGAGCCTGCTCGCATGCGCAAAAAAAAATTAAGTGCGGCTTGAGTACGGGAATTGTGTCTGCTTCCGCATTCTCGTCGTCCTTGGCTGGAGATTCTCCATAAAGGAGTTCAACATAGTTCAACCTAACAATGACTACGCCAACCCTGGAAACAAAAACGTTAGCCCCTTGAAGCAAGTGAGAGTCAGTAGGCTTTGCCTTTCTTTTCAAATCTAGCAGCTTCTTTTCATAATCCTGCGATGAAGAGGACATGTTCAAATGATAGACTTCGTGAGATCAATGCCTACAGGACAAGTCCAGATTGATGATTCACAGTTGTGGTGCAAACTCATTGTTTAGAAGCTACATACCGTCCTTAATCTTCTTGTCCAGTTCTTCTTGGGTATGCTTTTCCTTCTTGACCCTCATCAAATCTTGGTTTCCATCCTTCAACTCTGAACAGCTCCACACCCGGGACTGCATCGTTGGACGTTGTTTCATGGTGCGAACACAATGAACTGTGCTGCAGGCGGTCACACTTGGGTTGAGCCGGGGCGCCTGTGCAGTAGATGGTGGGATGGCGGTGCAACCATGAGTTGGCACAGCCAAGAATGATTCCAAAATCTCTTGATTCATGGTATTTTCAGGACCCCTCAGATTACGTCGAAATTACGTAATATCTTACGTGTTTTTACGTCCTGGATACGTGAAATATATGTCTTTTTTACGTCCCCTGGTTGATTACGTGTTTTATACGTAAAAAATACGTATTTATTACGTATTTCCATATTCTTCTTAAAAAGGTTATAAAGTACACATATTATTAAAGTAAACTAGTAGACCAAAAGCAATTCTGCATACAGCCCTTCAAAACACTCACCAAAGCTATTGGTTTCCTTCGCGCATGTGTGGTAGTCCAC